CGCCAAGTGCTGGATCAAGCTGGCTGAAATGGAGTCGATGTTTAGTTCTCGCAAAAATTGCAAAGACTTATTTTGCCCTTCTGAGGCTATGTTAAAATTAGGCAATGTTTCTTTCACCTTGACATCAAAATTGGGAGACAACTTGTGCAATTGAACATCGAATTGTAACATCCAAGTCCCCCATCCGCAGGGCTTTGTGGGGTGTGAAACTATTCATTGCAACTCCAGTGGCCAAACAAGATCCGTTGGCGTTTTGCTTGTGGCAGAAGTTACCAGATATAGATACATGCCTCATTAGGCTGTGTTTACACTTGGTGCCTGAGGTGCCTGGGAACCTGTACAAAAAGGTGCTGTGCTCAGACCATGACTGGGTATACTCCAAGTACCCAAGTACCATTTAGTGCCCGAGTACCTCAGTGCACTAACAGCGTATTAAAATGATGCCAGCTTTATAATAATATGATAGAATGAATATAAGTTAGTAAAGCGACTCTCTCTAAGCGCACGGTATTTTGAGTTTGCTCGGACGGTATAAGCTTGTTGACATTTTTAGGAGAATGTAAGAGGAAAAACAAACTTGCAGAATGCACATATTTATCTAGTATAGTGAGGCAGACATAATCCAAAGTCGGATCTAGGGCGAAGAAATATACCAGTTCCTAAGCATGAAAGTGTTGGTTGAATGTCGACGTCGCAAGATTAGTGGAAAAATTGAACCCGCAAAAATGGCGCGGTTTGTTTTTCTATTTTCGATTGAGAACGGGAATTTGTGATTTTGTTTTCCTCCGTAGAAGGGAAAGTCATCATCATCATCGGAGGGGATGACAACTACGAGAGTGAAGACGAGGAAGACCGAGTCGTTATTTCACGATGGGCTAGGAGGAAGATAAGCTCACAGTTTAGCGAAGAATTTTTCGATGGAAGGAAGAGCTTCATCTTTTCTTGGAACAAAAAACACCGAGAGATCCATGAAGAAGCGCTGCGGTATTACTTTACTGCAAGCAAGGAAGCCAGACAAAAATTTGAATATCAGCCGAAACCAACAACGACCGAGAGAACCCTTTCGCGGAAACATCAGTCCATGGATGAACAAAGAAGAATAGAAGGTATTGGAAGCAGCAACTCTTCCAGTGCTGAACAAAGACGACAGGACTTCGCTTCCAGTCGCTCCTACAGTGATGGCCAAACCAGTAAGCACAGCTTTTCCGATCGTTCCAACGACGCTAAACCAAGAGAAGAAGATAACAAATTCAATCATCCTAGCACTGGCGATCAAAGAAGAAATGGCAGCTTATACAGTGGTTCCAGACATGCTGAACAAAGCAGAGAAGACAGCTTATACAGTGGTTCCAGACATGCTGAACAAAGAGGAGATGACCGCTCCCTAAGCAACCTCGGTGTTCACCACGAGCAAAGACCCTTGCCTACGAAGACTGAAGGTTAGAAAGATGTTTATTATTTATAACTATTATCTCAAAACAAAGTTGGATTGCAATATTTATCCAGTAGTGGTTGTAGTAATTGCAATATTTATGTAGTAGTATTTACTATCATATCTTATCTTTTCTTTCCCGAAATTAATTTGTATTTTGTATTTTGGTAAACCTTCGTAATATGCTCTTCAGTTTTCGTGCTCTGAAAAATTCCCGCATGCCTATTTAGTCTATTGATCTTAACATACACTCGGCCCGCAAAGAATCATTATCTTTTTACCAAAGGCCAAACTGCGTCTCGGTCAACAATGTAATATTATACTGTCAATTGAAAATACTCGCCTGTGGCTCGTGTTTTCTACATTTTTCTCATGTTCTAAAAAAGAGACGTGCTTGATGACTCCTGACTCAAATTTTGAAAACTGACAATTGTTGAAAAAATGGCCTTTGACCCTATAAAATTTTTCTGAGAAAAGAGAGACGGTCATTCCAAACGTGAGAGGGTGGGAATAAGTGACCTGCATCTAAAAGCGTTTTTATTAGATGATATTAGTAAAAACCACCACCAATTCCTCACATAATGACTACTTTCCGCTAAACGTCAGGTGACATGTCATGTGACCTGTCAGAAGTACCAATTCTACTTTAGAATGTTCAGGACGTTGTGCTAAATTTGGTTTCATTGTCATTTATGTCTTCAGAAATATAACTAATAAATTATTTTTGCCGGTAAAAGTCTTTGACCCAGGCCTTAACTACTTGAGGAGTTTATTTAAAGTCCGTTACGCCTGCTGCGACGATACAAATAACTCGTTAGTTTTCTCAGCGGATAGTCTTAATACAGTATTACTTTAAGTCCTTTAACCGCCCTTTGAACAGCGGGGGAATGATAAAAACTATGGATCCTGTACCATCCTCGGCAAGAAATTTATGTACAGTATCTTCAACTCGTCCCGCTTTCCTTTCGTCCCGAGTGCCCCCGCTCCCTTTCACTTATCCCAAGATCGAGTGAATCCTCGTACCACCCACCCAAGCAATAAACAATGGCTGGTTTCTTTGCCTCCAGGTTCATGCATGGTATTGTATTGTGTTGTATTGCATCAAGTTTACAATTTAACTGCAACTGATGTTAACTGAGAGTGAAAATTACTTTGTTAGTTTCTCTTATTAGTCTCTCTCCTTTCTCAGTTTTTAAAGTGCAAAACTCGTTGAGCTAAAAAGAATGGTGACTAGAATTTCTCTGTTTTGCACTCTCTTGGCGAAAATTACATGCTTAAGCATAAAAATCTCTCTCTCAGAGGATTTTATTTTGAAGAGTGTAACTAAAAACTTATCAGTAAGGGTTTTTTTAAAACATTTGACAATAAAAATAAACGGTAAAAGTTTGCGACGTTTCGACC